TGCTGATTGGTGCGGTGAAGCACAGCGTTTTGCCACACATTGCGATGCTTTCCTATGGGAACTGAGTTGTCAGCCAAAGTGAAGAGCACACTCTTGTTACTTCAAAATGAGCAAGATAATGTAATTATTTTTTTACCGCTGTCCAATAGCATACATTCACAATTTCAGTCTAATTACGAAACTTTCCTTAATGGAGAATTAATTATTTTACCTATGCAATGCTTAGTGAATATTCCCCTTGACATACAGAGCTATAAATATATGCATTAACCTATAGCTGTATTGCATACTGAGACGTGGATTTAATAACATATATTATCCTGTATCTACAAATACCCGGACAGGTCTTCCTCGATGGTTTGTTGGTGGTGGGAGACGGGGGGGGGGTGGCGGGGCGAGGGAACAGGGGTGAAGCGCTACTTAAAGGCCCACAGGTGTAATTATTAGATCTGGAGATACCTTGATAACTCTCACCTGCAGTACCAGAGAGAAGGGGACTTGTCATAGATACAGGTAAATAAAGGGTTTTTAAAAAGCCTTTTTGCCTTAGTTAAGTTTTCCACGTCTGCAAGGGTTAAAAGCAAGAATTGTATCCCGTCTGCTATCTTGCAAGCACAACCTCCCTTTTCTCTCTCGCACAAGGTCAAGATAACCTTTGCATAGTTTAGAGAAGACGTAGTAGACATGCGCAGTAGATTTTCTGTAATACGTAATGTTATATGAGAAATTATACTTGTTGCACTGAACGTTTATGATTGGTTGATTTGTCTTCTGTTGGATACATCCCTATGAAAACTGTGTTTGTTTCATATATATACGCTGTACCCCCATTAAACAAGTTATAATTTTTCTGGAACTTCATAATGTCTGCATTAATTGTACAGAAAGATTAAGGAAAGCAGGATGTGTTAACGGCATAAGTCCATGGCAGCGTAAGGGTTACAGACCCTGTAAAATTCTTAGAGTCTAACATTCCTCAATATGTCAATGTAGTTGTACTGAAACATTGATTATATGCAAATGCACATCTGCACAAATCTGCTCTTTCGTTTATTTTGAAGTCCTATAAGTGCTCTCTTTTACGTTTGAGTGATAGTTTTCCGTTTTAAAGGGACACTCCAGGCACCCAGACCACTTCTGCCCATTGGAGTGGTCTGGGTGCCAATTCCCACTACTCTTAACCCTGCAAGTGTAATTATTGCAGTTTTTAATAAACTGCAATAATTACCTTGCAGAGTAGACAGCCACTAGAGGGCACCTTCTGGATCATAACACACACTATGTGAGGACCTCCAGCGTCGCTCATTTCCCCATAGGAAAGCATTGAAAAGCATTTTCAATGCTTTCCTATGGGGAGCTCTAATGCGCATTAGGTCTCCCCGGCCGGTGGGCGGGATCAGTCTCGCCCACCGGCCGACAAAACACAGGGAGGAGCGGCGGCAGAGGAAGAAATAGTGACGTGGGACATGTCGCTGCCTTTGGTAAGTAACTGAAGGGGTTTTCACCCCTTCAGCAACCGGGGATTGGGGAGTGGGAGGGAGAGGGAACCTGCAGTGCCAGGAAAACAGATTGTTTTCCTGGCACTGGAGTTTCCCTTTAAGGTTTTTTTCCCGCTTTCATATCTGTACACTATGCATTATGGGTCTAGTATAGAATTTATTTCCAGAGCTGCTTTTCCTGATGAAGTCAGTCCTGGGAGAAGAGCAGTGAAAGTCACACCCCCTCCCCTTAACATCATCAGGAGAGGACTGCCGACTCCACTAGGGAGAGAGATAAGTTAAAAAATCTGAGTCCCCAGCCAAAGGCTTTTCCTTTTTTTTGCAGGATGCGGACAGCCCTTGATTTAGGGCGGCCGGGGGGGACAATTGCCTCCCTGTCCCTCGTCCCAGCCTGCACCTGGAAAGAGTTAAGGAAATAAATAGGAGCGGTGTTGGAACATTTAGTCACCAATATTAGCTGGTCTTGCAATTAAATAAACCATTAAATCTTTAGATATTTTGAACTTTAAGAACTGAAGGGGAGAAAGAATTGCAGGTGCAGTTAGTTTTTAATCACTGAGCTCTTCCTTTCTTGAATTTCCCTTTTCCTCCTTTCTTTCCCTTTTACACAAGCTCTTATTCAAGGTTGGATCAGGGATAATAGACAGACTAAGATTTTAAGGGAACAGGGGAGGAAAAATATTTATGTTGGGGATAAAATCAGCCCGGGTCCTTTGTGGATGATGGATATTTGCCAACTCATTCAGAGCTCTGGAAATTGGAAATGAATAGCAGAGACGTGTTCAATAACCAATTCAAATTTTATTCATCCGTCAGTTATATTAATACCCCGTTTTTATAGCAGGATGTGAGGGGGAAAAATGAGCATATGGGCGTGGCAATGACATTGTTTTTCACAAGTTATGAGCAGCTGTTTCTTATTATAATTCTACGTTATATAACGCATGCATATTTGATCAAAACAAGATATTTACAAATACCAAAATCTTGGACAATTAACAAGAACATTTCGAAATCAGTATGGTCATTCTCGTAAATGATATTAGATAAATTCTTCCCAGAATCGAAGATACAATTCCAAATTTATTCTTGGTTCACATTAACCCTTATATGAACAGCTAGGATATTAAGCAAAATGGATATTCGTAGCTACAATTTATAATTATCCAAACAGGTTAAAGGGACACTATAGTCACCTGAACAACTTTAGCTTAATGAAGCAGTTTTGGTGTATAGAACATGCCCCTGCAGCCTCATTTAGGAGTTAAATCCCTTTGTTTATGAACCCTCGTCACACCTCCCTGCATGTGACTTGCACAGCCTTCCATAAACACTTCCTGTAAAGAGAGCCCTATTTAGGCTTTCTTTATTGCAAGTTCTGTTTAATGAAGATTTTCTTATCCCCTGCTATGTTAATAGCTTGCTAGACCCTGCAAGAGCCTCCTGTATGTGATTAAAGTTCAATTTAGAGATTGAGATACAATTATTTAAGGTAAATTACATCTGTTTGAAAGTGAAACCAGTTTTTTTTCTCATGCAGGCTCTGTCAATCATAGCCAGGGGAGGTGTGGCTAGGGCTGCATTAACAGAAACAAAAAGTGATTTAACTCCTAAATGACAGTGAATTGAGCAGTGAAAGGTGCAGGGGAATGATCTATACACTAAAACTGCTTTATTTAGCTAAAGTAATTTAGGTGACTATAGTGTTCCTTTAAGCAGAGAGTCCGTGGAGGTTCCTGCCAGCCAAATGTTCCTTTTTTTGGATCCCTTGGTGTTTGGTCGTCCGTGGTGAGAACAAACGTCTCCCAGGTCTCAGATCCCCGTAGTGACAAGATTCTCACTGTGCCCTCTTAACACCTCCAGCACCTGTGAATTGTTCCAAAGTGGTCTCACTGACCGTGACCTGCACTGCAACGATCTTTGCTGCAAACAGCTCCTCTCTTGAGCAGGGTCCAAATTTTCGCCAGCATCCTACATCAACCACGAGGTGCAACCTACATGCGTGATCTCGTCATCATTTCGCCCCTGTTTGTTCAGGATCTTATGTTGATCTATGTAAGATGTGAAAAAATAAAAACTGAAAAGGAAAAAAAAATTGAGCATTTAAAAGAGAAAAATAAATAGTAAAGAAATATATACTTTTTTGAGCAAATAACCAAGATGTGGATATTGTACACAATTTACAATTTAGTAAAATAAACCCACCTGTGGCTGAAATGTGAATCTACCAGGATCGAATAGTAACATGAAATGCAGTATATTTCTCAGCCCTTTGGTGCTAGGTAATTCCTCTGCATTGTCAGATTGAATTCAAGGTATTGATTTTGTTGTTCGTTACCTACATAATCTTTTTCCATTGTTCGTTCTTTATTTATTTTTTCATGGCTTTATATTTCTCAGCATTACAAAACGGTTTTAGTACCCTTACCGGTTGTTTCTAGATGATGTAATACATGGCTCTAAAATTCCACACGTCCACTGGCTATTGGTGTGGGAAACTTCACCCCTGTTGAGTGCGTCATGGCCCATCCATACTTGCAGTGGAGAGGTTAATTTATGCTCCACTAGAAGCCTAGGACTTTAATTTTTGAGCCCTGATGTCAGGCATGATTTAATAGCACTGTAATTAAAAGGGACAGTACAAGCACCACAACCACTAAAACCCCCTGTAACTTCCGTGATGCTTACTCCACCTACAAAAACGATTGGAGCTGTAACAAGGAATCTAACTTTAAGCCGACCCTACTTGCCAAAAAGGTTAGAGAAGATACTCCGCCAAAGATCATATATTTATGGGGAAGGCATTCTTTATAATTGCATGGAAAGATGGGGGAAGGAGTGGGTGGGCATTGTGGCTGCTCACTAACTCCTCAACTGTTAACCCACATATCAGGTGAAGGAAAGATCTTTGAAATTGTTTCTTCCATGTAATGACACATGCTTTTTATTGACAATTCTATCAGATAGTATACTTTGGCTTGGAAGCAATTAAGCTTTGTAACCATGTATACATTCTGATACATGTCTGTTCCTCTGGTACATCCATTCTATTTTAATTGGCATGGTGGGTGGTCCCTTTAGTTTATTTTCTATAAACTAAGGAAATAAACTAATTTATTATTTTTTATTTTTTTTTAGAGGGACTTATCTGTGTTTGACATATCTATTGGCACTTGTCAGACATTTTGGAAATGTAGTTGTCATATTATATGTGTTCCCCCATATGTAAGTTAGCAAGACCCATTAGTTCTCCCTTTGGTGAACCATTCTTAACTATGCTTTGGACAGATCACCATAGTTTGGTTAAAGTACAAGGATAGGAAAAGCGTAAACTGCGGTCTGTCAATTTGAAAGTGGCTGAATGAATTTTAATAGTCACACATGGGAGAATAAATAAGATACATTTTTTATTTTGAAATACGGTTGCTTTTATCCATCTATTTTAGGTCTTCACCATATAGGTAAAGAAGATCCTCTAGTCTAGACCACTGTAATAATTAACCCCTTAAAGACACATGACGGAAACATTCCGTCATGATTCCCTTTTATTTCTGAAGTTGTGTCCTTAAGGGGTTAAATTCACTCGTCCACGAGATGTACATTTTTGCATTGAACAAGTTTTGTCATTCTTTGCACCAACCCCATCTACCAGTAAACCTTTCTGTGGCAAGTGATTAAGCCTTATAACAAGTTTTAATATTGGTACCATAGATTTCAATGCAAAAAATTAATTTGGTGCTATAAATCACTTCTGCGGCTTTAGAATGGAATGAAGCTTTTAAATATATAGAACAAATGAGTCTTCAAATATGTCTGGGGAATATACAAGTATACATTAAAGATCAATAGGTAAACCAGGTGTTAAATACGGAGTACATTCCTAATGAAATAGAGCACTATTGAAACGACAGAATCAATCAGAAAAACTATACAGACAGAATATAAAATGTATACAGATATCATGCCCAGTTTATTAATGTTAAGCAATAGTAGATCCATATCATTGTTTAACTATAGCTGTGCATTGAAACGCAAACAGTGTGTCACAATGACTTTGTGAAAAATGACTTTGCAAAAAAAAATTTCTAATGCAACAAAAATATGTACAAACGTAATAGAACTTATAGAAATAAAGTGAAAGTCATAACCAGAGTTTTCAGGCCTAAAAGACCAGTCTGACAAATCAAACATATCTGACAATTTCCACACCATGTCATAAGTAAATAGGACAGTGCAGGGAGGATGTGCCATCCCATATCCTTTCATTCGCTGGAGGGATTCTTACTGTTCGTTTTTTTCCCCATGCGAATTAAGTACTGCAAAAGGCGTCATTTGATTTTGCATGTTTACATTTCCATAGGTAGAGTCTTGATACGAGATGAACTGAAGCTTGAGTATTATCCAATAAACAGTGAGGTGCAGTGTCAAAAAATGAACTGCAATATTTTGGCAAAAATAGGTTATGAGATGTTTCCAGTGCCAAGATTTTGTCCTACAACAACAATACACTATTTAGTGAATAAAACAGCATGTCTAAGCTGAACAGCAAAAGGCTTGCGCGGATGTCAGTAGTGGCAGGGAAAATGAGTTCAAGGGTCTATAAAATAATTGAAAAATATTTTTTTTAAGCAAGGAAGAGGGATGTGCCGAGTTAAGAACATGGGCAGCCTGCTTATAGACACATTTGGAACGGATATATGCACAGAAAAATGGATTACCGGAACCAAGTGAAAATAACTAGTTGTGCTTATAACTGAATATCTCTAGATCAGGTATATTCGGTCATTACAATGTGTGGATAATTAAATCACCTTGTTGCAAAGCTTTCTAGTTTAAAGAGGAAGTGGTGTGAACAGTTTACAAGGCACTGCCTAAGAATGGTGCTGCAAGCCAGAGTCTCGATGGCACACGTTTCCAGTTATGGTCCTCTCATAGTATTCAACCTTCTACTTGGATCACTATGTAAGTAATATGCTCATACGAGGAAATCGTTACACACACTCTTTTCTCAGATTTCACTGTATTTCTTCAGAAGAATTTGCACAAGGCTCAGTCCTGAATCTTGAGAATGCTCAGTTTTTCCAGATCATTCATTTCTTTCAGTATCAGGGCAACATTATACCTAAGTTCTTGGAACTTGGAAACTGAAACCTGGAAAAAAATAAGAAGCCGTATGATATATTGTAAAACCACATGTTTTTCTAAGCAAAAAATAAACAGGCTTGTTCACTAAAGATCGAATGGGCCAACACTATCTGGCTACATACAGGGCAATTCAGACTGCAAAATCCGGATGATGTTGATGGAATTCATCAACGTCTGGATTTTGTAACTCAAGCCCCAAACAGGCATGACTTTGGTCCAGATTTAACCCAGGCCAAACTAACTCTGGGCCGAATGTGGCAAATCCAGTCTCACAGAATTCAACACCTGATGTGGATTTTAAAAATACCAAAAATGTGCCAGTGGAATGAGCACTCCGTGTAGGGAAAGCTCTTTTAAAGGCTTCCCACGCTATGATGGCTATCGCTTCTCACTATTTGCAATATGACCAAGAGCGCTATGATTGGTTGGCTAGAAAGTCAAGTAAGAGAGAAGTGAGACTTGGCTGTCATAAAACTGATTGGTTGGTTTACTAGCCAGCCAATCAGAACACTCTTGGTTTAGTAGATAGATTATAGTAATATGGAGGCCTTATTGATACCCCACGTCTATTTTACTTTTTTAAAGCGGTTGCTGGCTGTAAGCATTGGCCAGCCGCCACATAATTAACCCTTGTGCTGACAAGGGTTTTTATTCATTTCTCTGTTGGCTACTAGTGCTGTCGGCAGGCAAATAGTTCTTCAAATCATCAATTCACTTGCAAAAAGCAGGAGAATGACAATTTACAAACAGGCATTCTGCCGGATGAATCCGGTTTATCATCAGCTGCCTTGCAGTCACTGTAAATCTCCAATTCCTGTAGGATGCGAAAATCACTCAGAACTCTTTCGAACCAATGTTATAGAAATCCTAACCCTATTTGTCTTTAGTAAATCTGAGAATAGCCAACGAGGTTGGAATTCACTTGTTTGGACCAGGTTTTACCTATTCTGACTACAGCAGTGTTTAGTGTATAACCCTGAAAACATTCAAAAATAATTCCCAACACTACAGTGTGCCTTAAGACATTTATATAGGCTCTCAGACAGACATGGCAACTTGTATTATATGTAACAGACTTACTTCAAACCGATGAGATGTCCCATCAGACAGTTTCATTTGCATTAGAACTGAAGGTTGCAAGGCCCGGGACAAGCAGCTGCACAATTAGCAAAACAAGACAAAAACTTATGACAATCACATAAACACAATTTATTTATAAATTATAAAAAAATTTTTTTACAATTTATATTTTGAAACATTGCACTAACCAAATATTAATAAGCCCAAATTTAGACATCCAGTAGCAGTTAAATAAAAAAAAAACAAAAATAAAAAAACACCATTTGCTTCTTGTCTGCAATACCAAAAAACGATCTGTCCCTTTCCTGTATAATTTAAGATGGATAACCCAAGCCTGGGGTCAACAACCTTTGCACCTCACACAAGGCTGCTAGACGAAAACATTCTGGAGCTGGTCTGATAAAGGTTCCAGTAGGATCTCTTCAGGTTATGCTACTGTCTATTGGCAGAACGGGGAATCTCAGATTACTTCCTCCTAACGCTTTTGAAGGAGAGCAGCCTGAAACACCTGCACTTGCCCTGTATCTGGCCCTCCTTCTGCTAAATGGTAAGCAAAAAGTAACTGTATTGTTAATGTGTGCGTGTAGTATTAGAGTGTGTCTAGCAGTGCGATTGTGTTTATGTTTGGCAATATGTAACAGTGTGCAGTGGAGCGGTTTCACAAATATCACAAACTGTTCATTTTCACACCCATTACATATTAGAACATAGCCCTCATACAAGCCTACAGAGCAGCCGCAGCACACAGCAGCAACGTAAATAAAAAAGAAAAAGTTAAATCCAGCACACTCAGGGACCTCAAAGTCTTGTATTGGCACAGTGCTGTTAAAAAGTTTCCTACCCTTGGTTTATGCATTATAACCATTTCATGTCACTGAAACGGCATTGGTGTCTGGAGTCCCATGGTGCCATTTAGTGAATGAGAGTGCATTGGATCTTGTATGGATTGGCCCCAGCAGCACCTTTTAATGCATGCAAGTTCAGGTGAACGTAGCCCTCGTCCTCTAGCATTACATATATATAATATAGGAGTAAGAATGGAAATTACTCTGTATTATATATTCAAGTAAGAATGCAGAGTAATCCCCATTCTTTCTTGATGGGAAAACATTTATTCTGTACTTAGTGTTATTTTTAGGTGTAAGGTGCTGTAACTAATGTGTTTTCCCAGCGGACTTTAATTATACAAAACTCAAATTAAAGGATTTATAGTTTATGTGATGGATAAACCGTGATTACGTTTTCATTTCATTGTTGACTTGATCATAATATTTACATCCCCGTCATTACCTGGTAGATATAGCAACATCAACTCTCCATCTGAAATCGTTAATCGTTGGCAACCTAATTCCCTGCTCCAAAGCCACATTTTCAAGGACTGGACGCCTACACAGTGAAACAGAATTGAATATTTATCAGAGGCATTTCATCGATTCAAATCCTTGCCAACTAAACTAATATGAAAAAAAAAAAAAAAAAGATAAAAAAACAACCATCTTCCCTGACTGCTGTCCTTCCTTGCTCAAACAATCAGCAATCTCATCAACATTTTAAAGCCATTCATTTACTAGAAGGATTTGACATTTTCAGCCAATGACAGACTCTAAAATACGTATGAAATTGTTGTTGCTAATGCAGAAGTGTAATTAATTGGCTGAGAGCATCAGCTGACACAGACTACCTAAGCAGCAACGTAATGTACTTATACTGCTGATTTAGCAAAAGCACAAATGGGAACATGCACACTAACCCAAATCCCTATGGATATTTAAATAAATGGAGGTTGCTTACATCTAATGGCCATTGGTGGTACTAAATAACCTCCATTTATTGAAATATGCATAGGGATTTGGGCTAGTGCGCAGGTCACTTTATTTTATGTACTGGGGCTGATGGATGCTTTGGTCGTTGCTGCCGCCCAGGAGTAGTGGAAGTTTGAGCGCACTACTTATTTCTGTGTACAAATGGGAACATGCCACAAACATCTAAGTGTCACCATGTGAAATGGAGCGGGTGGTATGCTCAGCACAACATGTATAGAAAGTTTATCTACAACACTTGCAAGTGTGATTAACAGGAAGAGTATGTAGACTGAAGGCAAAATAAACAAGTTGAAGAATGCTAGCAAGTTTGCCGTCATAAAAGAATTGCAAGATTTAGGTCACTTCAGCTCAATTCACTATAGCTCCTAATTCATGCATGAAGCAGTGATGGTACCAGAGTGATGCAACAGAATGGTAGACTAACAGACAATATAGCACTAGCCAACTATACTAAGCACATTTTAGGTTTGTACATGTGAATAAAATGTTGGGAATGAAACATACAAGAAAGTCTAAAATATACCAGTATCTAAACCCCCCTCAACTTATTGTATAGTGAGAGAGAGAAAAAGCATGCAACACAGTTTGCCCTATTACCTGGTCCGGCTAGGTGTCCCTGTCGCAACATCTGGCTTGTGCTGATCCTTACACTCATTGACCGCTCAAAGCCAATGAATGAAACTCTATTTCCGGTCTGGCCGATGACATTTAAATGGTGTTGCTGGAGGTGCAGTCACACCTTCGGCAGCAGAGGGGTTAAACTTGGCATGGGCAACCGAAACACTGCACATACAGGACTACAGACACCATGGCCACTTCAAATCACTGAAGTGATCATGGCGCCTGGAGCAATCCTTTAACTGGGATTCATAAAGCTTCAGAAAATTACACACCTGTTTCCATACACTATGTTGGCAAAATCCCCTATAAAATCCTCTGGGATCCTATAAAAGAGAAAACAATAAACTGTTAATGGATTTTCATTTAATGATCATGAGCAGTGTAATTTATTAATAATAACAGTCATTTCTTATCCTTGGTGTGTGCACTACAATAACAGAACAGGCTGGAGCCCGCACTTTGGGAAACATTACAGTGAAGGAGATAATTGCAGTTAATAAACATCATAGTCCCAAGACTTAAAAGCAAATAGTGAAGTTGACTGCACGCCAAAATGAATGTAAACAGATTTTTTCCCAGCTGCAAAACATAATTGGATGTAAGCAGTTCTAATAGTATGTAAGGAAGTAGAAATTATATTCCAAGTAACTTTACCATTAGGGATGTAAAGCAGAGAAGAATTTTGCCACAAATCTAATATGGTTATCTACGCACCATAATCACAACTGCTTACTAGATAGGCAGCAATGTAAGGAGTCTCTGGGTGCAGTTTCCCCAGGTTTTTGAGATGCTTTTTCAGTGATTTAGGGTTACAGAAAGAAAAAGCTAATCAAAAACAATGGGCTCTTCTGGCGACCAAAGAGTCTCCTCTCTGCTGCCATGAAGATACAGAGAAATCTCACTTCTTCACCATCTTTCAATATTTGGGACATCGATAATAGATACCTTAAAAGGGCACTCACTGCTTCACTCTGAAATTGCCACTGTTCTTGCGGTAACCGTTTAATATACAGTTGGCAATTAAGAAAACAGATCATTAAATGAATAAAAAGACAAAACAGTAAAAACAAAAATGCAAACAGATAAGTCTTAGGTGATGTTTTATTCAAAGTAAAAAAAACAAACAGATCATTACATCGCAAAAAAAACACAAAAAAAAAACCCCACAATTTCACTCACTAAACAAAATTCACTAACCATGCAGGGCCTCCATCAGGGGGTGACAACCATGATGGTTGTCACAGGCCCGGCTGTCCTAGACTGCTTTGGCAGTCCTGGGCCCCACATTCATGCATGTGTGTGTATATGTATCTATATATCTATCTATCTATCTGCGGTCCCCCGGCTCCCTATACTTGAGAGGGGCCCAGCAGACTGCAGCAGTACTTTAAAGCTCTTCCCTCTCTCTAACTCCCGCGAGACCCACGGCCGTCAGAGCGTTGCCACGGGTAACCATGGCAACGCGCTGCACATAGACCATGCTCGCAGGAATTGGAGAGAGGGAAGAGCTGTAATGTCCTGCTGCAGTCTGCTGGGCCCTTCCTGCAAAAACAGGGAGCCGGGGGGCCAAACAATGCCACCGGACCACCAGGGATGGAATCTCCCCCCTCCCTGGACCAGGTAAGAAGCAGGGAGGGGGGAGAAACATTTATTACATTTAATGGGGGGGGCTCCATTTACACAACATGCATTCACTACACTGACACACACTCTGCATTAACTATACACACAGCATCCACTACACAAACATCCTGTATTCACAGTAAACACACTACATCCACCACACATTCAAACACTCTGCATTCACTATACAGAGACACTGCGTCTAATACACACACTACATCCACTACAGACACTGCATCTAATACACACACACACACGCACACAAACACTACATCACTGTACACACACTACATCCACTACTCAAACACACTGTGTTCACTATACACACCAAAATCGCTACACAAACACACTCTGCATTCACTGCACAAACAGTATCTAACACACACATTCTAATTCACTTCCACTATACACACCACATCCAGTCCTGCATCATTGTCAGCGGACTAGGTAGGAGTCCTGTGGGAGGACTCGTGGGCGGGCCATGGGGGGCCCAGACCTTGTGCTTTGTCAGGGGCCCCAAAATTTCTGGTGGCAGCCCTGTGCACATGTATTCTGTATAAGGAACTATTTATTCTTCCAGATATTCAAATTTTTCTTGGGTTTAGGATTATCAAGCTAGTGCCACGTGACCAGTTTATAGTAGTGATATGTGTCAAACATTTTATTGTTAGTTGGTTACACTTTTAAATCCTCTCAGACTGTATGTACTACAACTGATGCACACAATTCCTTGCTATGTTGATGTTCCTTTTTTGTAATCTATTATAAATTGTTAAAAACAAGAGACAGCATGTACATATATTCGGGCAAGGTTGAATTTTCATTAGACGTCAATGCTCATATATTAAAAAAACATTAAAAAAAAAAAAGAATAGTATCAGATTTCATATACCTGAGTTCTTTCAAATCTTCTTTGAAAACCTAAAAAACATTTTTTAAAAAAAAATTACAATTCTGCCTTGTTTCATTGTAATCAATAACCTTTCTACATGAACTTGCGAAGAAAGTTCCTATCAGCCTTAACTCACTTTTATTCAATTTTGTCAACAGACTGACAAACAGCTAGGGGCACTTCTTTACGGACAACTCAATTATTAAAGCTCTTCACATTAGGCAACATCGCACAGCACGATGCAGCTGAACACTGTGCATGCTTCTCACAGAGAAACAATTGATTCAATGTTCCTCTACGAGAAGCATCCAATTGGCAGGGCACGGTTTATTGTGCATGCTCAGTATGTCTCTGTGGCCTCCTCCATAGATGTCCAATCCAAAGCGCCTCACAGAGGTGCATTGGGAATCTAATTAGCATGTGGGACTAGCACATCCAAGTTTATCCAAAGGAAAGCTTTCAATGTAATGCATCAGCATCACTTGACCATATTTTACAATGGCTTCCACTATGACAGCCACTTAAAGGATGATTTAATCCTACATTGCAGTTTCTTAAAAGCTGCAATGTTTTACATGTTTCTCCGGGAGACAAAGATGTAGTCCAACAACATAATGAGGACACACAGCCTTATATCACCATCTTACAACTAGGTGGGGGCTAGATAATTACTGCCAATATGGAGACGACCTACCTGATTGACTGAACAAGACTTTAAAAAATGACAGATACTTACTCCCTAATCCCGGTAAATACATTGTAGTGAAAGAGGCAAAAGCGGTAAGAACAATACTCAACAACCTTTGCAGTGCTGCTGTGTCCAGGGCAAATTGCCTGATGATATTATGTGTGGGGGGTGCGACTGAGGGGAGCAATAGTGCCAGGAATACAGATTTGTATTCCTGGCACTACAGTATCTCTTTAAAGGGTTATTTAGTCATTTGTGAATTCAACGTCAATTTTAAATGTAAGACCAGAGTAGTGAAATTGAAAGCACAGCTGACTTACAGGGTTTTTTCCCCAGTTCGGCTATTTTGATGTAAAATTTTAAATTCACAGTTTAATGAAAAATCCTGATGGTGTTAATAGTGTCAACAGAGAGCCAGAGGCTCTGACCTACTCACCTCCTGCTTAAGTGTTGATACTGGAAATCTGAGTGCCACCTTTATTAGAGTGTACGATCCAGAAATGATAAAAGTCAATTGCTCTTCAGTTAAGGAGGTATTTTCTAAAATGACCTTTAAAGAATCTCTGCTGTCCTTTCCCTCCAGAGCATTTACAACAGCTGGTAACCAAAAATAAGAAAAACAAGAAATGGAACAGAAATCCCATAATGCAAAGCAATTCGTTTGTTTATCAAAGCACAATTTATGACATGCTTACATTGCGTTAGTGGGTGACTTGCCCTTGGGGTCTGCATAAATGGGAGAAGCGTAGGGCAAAAACAGGACAGGAGCTTTAGTAGAGGAGATTAGGGCCTGTAGTAAGGAGCTTTAGTAGAAGAGATTAGGGCCTGTAGTAAGGAGCTTTAGTAGGGGTTTAGGAAGGAGTAAGGGGCTTTAGTGGGTGTGTTAGGGACTGTAGTGGGGGGTTAGGGGTGTATTAAGGAGTAAGAGGCTTTAGTAGGGGAGGTTAGGGGCTGTAGTAGGGAGTAATGGGCTTTAGTAAAACTGTAGGGTTGTAGTAAGGGGCTTTATAAGGATGGGTTAGGTGCTTTAGTAGGGTAGGTTAGGGGCTCAAGTGGATGGTAAGGGGTGTATTATGGTATAGGGGCTAGTCCTATAAGGTCTGGTCCTTGCAGTATTTACAGTGTGGGGTCTGGTCCTTGCACTATATGCAGTGCGCGGACTGGCGGTTGCAGTGCGCGGACTGGTGGTTGCCGCACAGGCAGAGCCCGGACTGGCGGTTGCCGCGCAAGCAGAGCGCGGACTGGCGGTTGCCGCGCAGGCAGTGCGGATTCTGGTTCTTGCAGTACATGCAGTGTGGGAGTTGGTTCTTGCAGTACAGGCAGTGTGGGGTTTGGTTCTTGCAGTACAGGCAGTGTGGGGTTTGGTCCTTGCAGTATGGGGTTTGGTTCTTGCAGTATATGCAGTGTGGGCTCTGGTCCTTGCAGTATATGCAGTGTGTGGACTGGTCCTTGCAGTATATGCAGCGTGGGGTCTGGTCCTTGCAGTACATGCAGTGTGGGGACTGGTGTTTGCAGAATATGCAGTGTGGGGACTGGTTCTTGCAGTGAGGGGGTTGGTTCTTGCAGTATTTGCAGTGTGGGGTCTGGTCCTTGCAGTGTGTGGACTGGTCCTTGCAGTATATGCAGTGTGTGGACTGGTCCTTGCAGTATATGCAGTGTGTGGACTGGTCCTTGCAGTATATGCAGCGTGGGGTCTGGTCCTTGCGGTATATGCAGCGTGGGGTTTGGTTCTTGCGGTATATGCAGTGTGGGGTTTTGTTCTTGCAGTATATGCAGTGTGGGGGTTGGTTCTTGGAGTATATGCAGTGTGGGGGTTGGATCATGCAGTGTGGGGACTGGTGTTTGCAGTATTTGCAGTGTGTGGACTGGTGTTTGCAGTGTGGGGGTTGGATCATGCAGTGTGGGGACTGGTGTTTGCAGTATTTGCAGTGTGTGGACTGGTGTTTGCAGTATATGCAGTGTGGGGTTGGATCATGCAGTGTGGGGACTGGTGTTTGCAGTATTTGCAGTGTGTGGACTGGTGTTTGCAGTATATGCATGTATATGTGTAGGGGTTGGATCATGCAGTATATGCAGTGTGTGGGTTGGTTCTTGCAGTATATGCAGTGTGGGGTCTGGTCCTTGCAGTAGTTGGAGTGTGGGGTCTGGTCCTTGCAGTATATGCAGTGTGGGGGTTGGTTCTTGCAGTATATGCAGTGTGGGGGTTGGTTCTTGCAGTGTTTGCAGTGTGGGGGTTGGTTCTTGCAGTGTGTGGTCTGGTGTTTGCAGTATATGCAGTGTGTGGACTGGTTCTTGCAGTATATGCAGTGTGTGGACTGGTTCTTGCAGTATTTGCAGTGTGGGGGTTGGTTCTTGCAGTATTTGCAGTGTGAGGGGTGGTTCTTGCAGTGTGTGGACTGGTTTTTGCAGCATTTGCAGTGTGTGGACTGGTGTTTGCAGTATAAGCAGTGTGGGGTCTGGTGTTTGCAGTATATGCAGTGTGGGGTCTGGTGTTTGCAGTATATGCAGTGTGGGGTCTGGTGTTTGCAGTATATGCAGTGTGGGGGTTGGTCCTTGCAGTGTGTGGACTGGTGTTTGCAGTATTTGCAGTGTGTGGACTGGTGTTTGCAGTATATGCAGTGTGTGGACTGGTTCTTGCAGTATATGCAGTGTGGGGGTTGGTTCTTGCAGTATATGCAGTGTGGGGGTTGGTTCTTGCAGTATATGCAGTGTGGGGGTTGGTTCTTGCAGTGTGTGGACTGGTGTTTGCAGTATTTGCAGTGTGTGGACTGGTGTTTGCAGTATATGCAGTGTGTGGACTGGTTCTTGCAGTATATGCAGTGTGGGGGTTGGTTCTTGCAGTATATGCAGCGTGGGGTTTAGTTCTTCTTGGTATATGCAGTGTGGGGTTTTGTTCTTACAGTATATATATGCAGTGTGGTAGGTTTGGTTCTTGGGTATGCAGTGTGGGGGTTGGATCATGCAGTGTGGGGACTGGTGTTTGCAGTATTTGCAGTGTGTGGACTGGTGTTTGCAGTGTGGGGGTTGGATCATGCAGTGTGGGGACTGGTGTTTGCAGTATTTGCAGTGTGTGGACTGGTGTTTGCAGTGTGGGGGTTGGATCATGCAGTGTGGGGACTGGTGTTTGCAGTATTTGCAGTGTGTGGACTGGTGTTTGCAGTATATGGGTTGGATCATGCAGTATATGCAGTGTAGGGGTTGGATCATGCAGTATATGCAGTGTGTGGGTTGGTTCTTGCAGTATATGCAGTGTGGGGTCTGGTCCTTGCAGTAGTTGGAGTGTGGGGTCTGGTCCTTGCAGTATATGCAGTGTGGGGGTTGGTTCTTGCAGTATATGCAGTGTGGGGGTTGGTTCTTGCAGTGTTTGCAGTGTGGGGGTTGGTTCTTGCAGTGTGAGGACTGGTGTTTGCAGTATATGCAGTGTGTGGTCTGGTTCTTGCAGTATATGCAGTGTGTGGACTGGTTCTTGCAGTATTTGCAGTGTGGGGGTTGGTTCTTGCAGTATATGCAGTGTGAGGGTTGGTTCTTGCAGTGTGTGGACTGGTGTTTGCAGCATTTGCAGTGTGTGGACTGGTGTTTGCAGTATAAGCAGTGTGGGGTCTGGTGTTTGCAGTATATGCAGTGTGGGGTCTGGTGTCTGCAGTATATGCAGTGTGGGGTCTGGTGTTTGCAGTATATGCAGTGTGGGGGTTGGTCCTTGCAGTGTGTGGACTGGTGTTTGCAGTATTTGCAGTGTGTGGACTGGTGTTTGCAGTATATGCAGTGTGTGGACTGGTGTTTGCAGTATATGCAGTGTGTGGGCTGGTTCTTGCAGTATATGCAGTGTGGGGGTTGGTTCTTACAGTATATACAGTGTGAGGTTAGTTCTTGCAGTATATGCAGTATGAGGTTCGGTTCTTGCAGTGTGTGGGGCTGGTGTTTGCAGTATTTGCAGTGTGTGGACTGGATTTCTTGCAGTATATACTGCAGTGTAGGGGGTTAGTTCTTTGCAGTATATGCAGTGTGGGGTTAGTTCTTGCAGTATATGCAGTGTGAGGGTTGGTTCTTGCAGTATATGCAATGTGAGGGTTAGTTCTTGCAGTGTGTGGACTGGTGTTTGCAGTACTTGCAGTGTGTGGACTGGTGTTTGCAGTGTTATATGCAGTGTGGGGTCTGGTCCTTGCGGTATATGCAGTGATGGGGTTTTGGTTCTTACTTGAGGCATAAACCAGTGTGGGGTTTTGTTCTTGCAGTATATGCAGTGTGTGGTTGGTTCTTGGAGTATATGCAGTGTGGGGGTTGGATCATGCAGTGTGGGGACTGGTGTTTGCAGTATTTGCAGTGTGTGGACTGGTGTTTGCAGTGTGGGGGTTGGATCATGCAGTGTGGGGACTGGTGTTTGCAGTATTTGCAGTGTGTGGACTGGTGTTTGCAGTATATGGGTTGGATCATGCAGTATATGCAGTGTAGGGGTTGGATCATGCAGTATATGCAGTGTGTGGGTTGGTTCTTGCAGTATATGCAGTGTGGGGTCTGGTCCTTGCAGTAGTTGGAGTGTGGGGTCTGGTCCTTGCAGTATATGCAGTGTGGGGGTTGGTTCTTGCAGTATATGCAGTGTGGGGGTTGGTTCTTGCAGTGTTTGCAGTGTGGGGGTTGGTTCTTGCAGTGTGAGGACTGGTGTTTGCAGTATATGCAGTGTGTGGTCTGGTTCTTGCAGTATATGCAGTGTGTGGACTGGTTCTTGCAGTATTTGCAGTGTGGGGGTTGGTTCTTGCAGTATATGCAGTGTGAGGGTTGGTTCTTGCAGTGTGTGGACTGGTGTTTGCAGCATTTGCAGTGTGTGGACTGGTGTTTGCAGTATAAGCAGTGTGGGGTCTGGTGTTTGCAGTATATGCAGTGTGGGGTCTGGTGTCTGCAGTATATGCAGTGTGGGGTCTGGTGTTTGCAGTATATGCAGTGTGGGGGTTGGTCCTTGCAGTGTGTGGACTGGTGTTTGCAGTATTTGCAGTGTGTGGACTGGTGTTTGCAGTATATGCAGTGTGTAGACTGGTGTTTGCAGTATATGCAGTGTGTGGACTGGTTCTTGCAGTATATGCAGTGTGGGGGTTGGTTCTTGCAGTATATGCAGTGTGGGTTGGTTCATGCAGTATATGCAGTGTGAGGGTTGGTTCTTGCAGTATATGCAATGTGAGGGTTGGTTCTTGCAGTGTGTGGACTGGTGTTTGCAGTATTTGCAGTGTGTGGACTGGTGTTTGCAGTATATGCAGTGTGGGGTCTGGTGTTTGCAGTATATGCAGTGTGTGGACTGGTTCTTGCAGTATATGCAGTGTGAGGGTTGGTTCTTGCAGTATATGCAGTGTGAGGGTTGGTTCTTGCAGTTTATGCAGTGTGAGGACTGGTGTTTGCAGTATTTGCAGTTTGGGGGTTGGTCCTTGCAGTATTTGCAGTGTGTGGACTGGTTCTTGCAGTATATGCAGTGTGGGGGTTGGTTCTTGCAGTATATGCAGTGTGGGTTGGTTCTTGCAGTATATGCAGTGTGAGGGTTGGTTCTTGCAGTATATGCAATGTGAGGGTTGGTTCTTGCAGTGTGTGGACTGGTGTTTGCAGTATGTGGACTGGTGTTTGCAGTATATGCAGTGTGGGGTCTGGTGTTTGCAGTATATGCAGTGTGTGGACTGGTTCTTGCAGTGGGGACTTGCAGTGGGGAATGCAGTGGGGACTGGTCCTTGCAGTATTTGCAGTGTGGGGGTTGGTCCTTGCAGTATTTGCAATGTGAGGGTTGGCTCGTGCAGTATATGCAGTGTGGGGGTTGGATCATGCAGTGTGTGGACTGGTCCTTGCAGTATTTGCAGTGTGGGGGTTGGTCCTTGCAGTATTTGCAGTGTGGGGTTGGTTCTTCCTTGCAGTATTTGCAATGTGAGGGTTGGCTCGTGCAGTATATGCAGTGTGGGGGTTGGATCATGCAGTGTGTGGACTGGTCCTTGCAGTATTTGCAGTGTGGGGGTTGGTCCTTGCAGTATTTGCAGTGTGGGGGGTTGGTTCTTGCAGTATTTGCAGTGTGGGGGTTGGTTCCTGCAGTATTTGCAGTGTGGGGGTTGGTTCTTGCAGTATATGCAGTGTGGGGGTTGGTTCTTGCAGTATATGCAGTGTGTGGGTTGGTTCTTGCAGTGTGTGGGTTGGTTCTTGCAGTATATGCAGTGTGGGGGTTGGTTCTTGCAGTATGTGGACTGGTGTTTGCAGTGTGGGCTCTTCACTCACCTTTCAGGATCTTCCTAAACACATCTTTATCCAAGTCCTTCAGACATTTCGCCATGACCTCCACCTCGTGCGGGATATGGGCTCCCAGGTAGGTGCTCCGGTCATTGCTCAGGGAGGAGGATGTTGGGAGGGGATGGAGAGACCGTACCGTTGCCATTTTGGTAGCAGAGAGGTCCCATCCGGCAGCTGACACCGCCGTCACGTGACTGGAGAGATCACGTGGAGCACCACATGCGGAAGTGATAATGAGAGCAATGCTGTGTGCTGCCTGCTCAGGGCAGGATCACTGACTGAGTGCAGCCAGGCTAGCTACTGGGCTGCTTTATAGGGGATACATTATATAACAGCTGGGTAAAAGCTGCTGTGTCTGAGTGTGAGGGTTGGTTCTTGCAGTGTGAGGACTGGTGTTTGCAGTATATGCAGTGTGTGGTCTGGTGTTTGCAGTATATGCAGTGTGTGGGCTGGTTCTTGCAGTATATGCAGTGTGGGGGTTGGTTCTTGCAGTGTGAGGACTGGTGTTTGCAGTATATGCAGTGTGTGGACTGGTTCTTGCAGTATATGCAGTGTGAGGACTGGTGTTTGCAGTATATGCAGTGTGTGGACTGGTTCTTGCAGTATATGCAGTGTGGGGGTTGGTTCTTGCAGTATTTGCAGTGTGGGTTGGTTCTTGCAGTATATGCAGTGTGAGGGTTGGTTCTTGCAGTATATGCAATGTGAGGGTTGGTTCTTGCAGTGTGTGGACTGGTGTTTGCAGTATTTGCAGTGTGTGGACTGGTTCTTGCAGTATTTGCAGTGTGTGGGTTGGTTCTTGCAGTATATGCAGTGTGTGGGTTGGTTCTTGCAGTATATGCAGTGTGAGGGTTGGTTCTTGCAGTTTATGCAGTGTGAGGACTGGTGTTTGCAGTATTTGCAGTGTGGGGGTTGGTTCTTGCAGTATTTGCAGTGTGGGGACTGGTCCTTGCAGTATTTGCAGTGTGAGGGTTGGTTCTTGCAGTATATGCAGTGTGAGGGTGGACTGGTGTTTGCAGTATTTGCAGTGTGGGGGTTGGTCCTTGCAGTATTTGCAGTGTGGGGACTGGTCCTTGCAGTATTTGCAGTGTGGGGGTGGGTCCTTGCAGTATTTGCAGTGTGGGGGTGGGTCCTTGCAGTATTTGCAGTGTGGGGACTGGTCCTTGCAGTATGGGGACTGGTCCTTGCAGTATTTGCAGTGTGGGGGTTGGTCCTTGCAGTATTTGCAGCGTGCGGGTTGGTCCTTGCAGTATTTGCAGTGTGGGGGTTGGTCCTTGCAGTATTTGCAGTGTGGGGGTTGGCTCGTGCAGTATATGCAGTGTGGGGGTTGGTGGTGTGGACTGGTCCTTGCAGTATTTGCAGTGTGGGGGGTTGGTTCTTGCAGTATTTGCAGTGTGGGGGGTTGGTCCTTGCAGTATTTGCAGTGTGGGGGTTGGCTCGTGCAGTATATGCAGTGTGGGGGTTGGATCATGCAGTGTGTGGACTGGTCCTTGCAGTATATGCAGTGTGGGGTCTGGTTTGCAGTATATGCAGTGTGGGGTTGGTCCTTGCAGTATTTGCAGTGTGAGCAGTATATGCAGTGTGAGGGTTGGTCCTTGCAGTATTTGCAGTGTGGGGGTTGGTCCTTGCAGTATTTGCAGTGTGGGGGTGGGGACTGGTCCTTGCAGTATTTGCAGTGTGGGGGTGGGTGCAGTATTTGCAGTGTGGGGGTTGGCTGCTTGCAGTGTGTGGACTGGTCCTTGCAGTATTTGCAGTGTGGGGGGTTGGTTCTTGCAGTATTTGCAGTGTGGGGGGTTGGTCCTTGCAGTATTTGCAGTGTGGGAGTTGGTTCCTGCAGTATTTGCAGTGTGGGAGTTGGTTCCTGCAGTATTTGCAGTGTGGGGGTTGGTTCTTGCAGTGTGGGGGTTGGTTCTTGCAGTATATGCAGTGTGGGGGTTGGTTCTTGCAGTATTTGCAGTGTGTGGGTTGGTTCTTGCAGTGTGTGGGTTGGTTCTTGCAGTATATGCAGTGTGGGGGTTGGTTCTTGCAGTATATGCAATGTGAAGGTTGGTTCTTGCAGTGTGTGGACTGGTGTTTGCAGTATTTGCAGTGTGTGGACTGGTGTTTGCAGTATTTGCAGTGTGTGGACTGGTGTTTGCAGTATTTGCAGTGTGTGGGTTGGTTCTTGCAGTATATGCAGTGTGAGGGTTGTTTCTTGCAGTTTATGCAGTGTGAGGACTGGTGTTTGCAGTATTTGCAGTGTGGGGACTGGTCCTTGCAGTATTTGCAGTGTGGGGACTGGTCCTTGCAGTATTTGCAGTGTGAGGGTTGGTTCTTGCAGTATATGCAGTGTGAGGGTTGGTTCTTGCAGTGTGTGGACTGGTGTTTGCAGTATTTGCAGTGTGGGGGTTGGTCCTTGCAGTATTTGCAGTGTGGGGACTGGTCCTTGCGGTATTTGCAGTGTGGGGACTGGTCCTTGCAGTATTTGCAGTGTGGGGGTGGGTCCTTGCAGTATTTGCAGTGTGGGGACTGGTCCTTGCAGTATGGGGACTGGTCCTTGCAGTATTTGCAGTGTGGGGACTGGTCCTTGCAGTATTTGCAGTGTGGGGGTTGGTCCTTGCAGTATTTGCAGCGTGGGGACTGGTCCTTGCGGTATTTGCAGTGTGGGGGTGGGTCCTTGCAGTATTTGCAGTGTGGGGGTGGGTCCTTGCAGTATTTGCAGTGTGGGGACTGGTCCTTGCTTTGCAGTGGTGGACTGGTCCTTGCAGTATTTGCAGTGTGGGGTTGGACTGGTCTGCAGTATTTGCAGTATTTTGCAGTGTGGGGACTGGTCATACGGTATTTGCAGTGTGGGGGTTGGTCCTTGCAGTATTTGCAGTGTAAGGGGGTTGGTCCTTGCAGTATTTGCAGTGGGGGTTAGTCCTTGCGGTATGGGGTTGGTCCTTGCAGTATTTGCGGTGTGGGGGTTGGCCTTGCGGTATTTGCAGTGTGGGGGTTAGCTCGTGCAGTATATGCAGTGTGGGGGTTGGATCATGCGAGTGTGTGCACTGGTCATACGTATTATTTACGGTGTGGGGGGTTGGTTTCTTACGGTATTTTACGGTGTGGGGGTTGGATCATGCGGTATTTGCAGTGTGGGGGTTGGTTCTTGCAGTATTTGCAGTGTGGGGTTGGTTCCTGCAGTATTTGCAGTGGACTGGTATGCGGTATTTGCAGTGGGGTCTGGTTCTTGCAGTATATGCAGTGTGGGGTTGGTGCTTGCATTTTGCAGTGTGTGGGTTGGTTCTTGCAGTATATGCAGTGTGGGGGTTGGTTCTTGCAGTATATGCAGTGTGGGGGTTGGTTCTTGCAGTATATGCAGTGTGTGGGTTGGTTCTTGCAGTATATGCAGTGTGGGGGTTGGTTCTTGCAGTATTTGCAGTGTGTGGACTGGTGTTTGCAGTGTGGGCTCTTCACTCACCTTTCAGGATCTTCCTAAACACATCTTTATCCAAGTCCTTCAGACATTTTGCCATGACCTCCACCTCGTGCGGGATACGGGCTCCCAGGTAGGTGCTCCGGTCATTGCTCAGGGAGGAGGATGTTGGGAGGAGATGGAGAGACCGCACCGTTGCCATTTTGGTAGCAGAGAGGTCCCATCCGGCAGCTGACACCGCCGTCACGTGACTGGAGAGATCACGTGGAGCACCACATGCGGAAGTGATAATGAGCTGCCTGCTCAGGGCAGGATCACTGACTGAGTGCAGCCAGGCTAGCTACTGGGCTGCTTGTATAGGGGATACATTATATAACAGCTGGGTAAAAGCTGCTGTGTCTGAGTAACTGTTAGTCTGATCTAATATAATTATTCACTGCCATAATACATTCTATTAGATGCATTGAGCTATTTGATTCAATGTTATTTTCATTCCTAATGTAAAAGTTTGTGCTTCAGACTTCTTTCATTATGGTTTATATCTGTAGCTTGTAATACTTAATTTCTATTCAACCGTGAATTGATTTGACACTAAAATACAAGGTAACCCTGACACATACTGGGCTAATGTTTACTAACAATGTAACATTCTTTCACCCAATTCACTTGCCAAAAAAACTGCAAGCACTTATGGAATATATTTCCTTCTTAAATGCCCATGAGCAAGAGTAAATAAGAGCCAGAGCACTATTGCCACTTTGTAAATCATCTTCAACATATTCAAGAATCTAGAATAAGATAAAATCATGTTAGATATTAAAGAATCTAGAATTTAATATTATATTTGAAATTATATATTTTTTTATTTTATTTTTACTGCCAACTATTAGTCATTTCATATTACACGGTTGTTTTTTGTACTCTCTTTTTATTGTGTTGCTTTTATTGGATCAGGCTTTGTAATAAAGATTTAATAGTTACATTGTTACATAGCTGAAAAGAGACTTGAGCCTGCCTCACATTTGTTTTTTGTTGTTGATCCAAAAGAAGGCAATGAAGCACTTCTAATTTTGCAACAAACTAGGAAAAAAAATCCTTCTTGACCCCAGAATGGCAGTCAGATTTACCCTTGGATCAAGCAGTTATTACTCTACATTGAAAGATTATATCCTTGAATATTCTGTTCTTGCAAGTATGCATCTAGTAGCTGTTTGAACATCTGTACGGACTCTGATAAAACCACTTTTTCAGGCAGAGAATTCCACATCCTGATTGTTCTTACAGTAAAAATAACTTTTCTTTGCCTTAGACGAAATCTTCTTTCTTCCAGTCTAAACGCAAGGCCTTGTGTCCTATGTAAAGTCCGGTTTGTGAATAGATTTCCACACAATAGTTTGTATTGGCCCCGGCTATATTTGTATAATGTTATCATATCCCCTCTGAGGCGACATTTTTCTAAACTAAAGAGATTTAAATTTGTTAACCTTTTCTTCATAGCTGATATGTTCCATTCCTTTTATTAATTTTGTAGCTCGCCTTTACACTTTTTCTAGTGCCATAATATCCTTCTTTAGCACAGGTGCCCAAAACAGCACAGCATATTCAAGATGTGGTCTGACCAGTGATTTATAAAGAGGCAAAATGATATTCTCATCCCGAGAATTAATGTCCTTTTTCTTTTTTTTTTGTAAATCTTTTTATTGAGTTGAATGCATAGTCATCAACAGTAACAAAGCAAGACACGCAGGTCTATGTATATACGTAAAACATTTCAAATCGAGCATAAGTATATTAAAACTAGGTTGTCGATATCAAGTTGGTCATGATAGAGACTATATTTGCCAATAGGGAGACTAAACCCATCCGCCCGTTAGTTTAAATTCAGCAGGGTATCATAAATGAACATGGAAGACCTTGTACACTGGACTACATCTCTTGTTATATTCATGATAGGTGAGTAATGGACAGAGAGTATTTCCAGAGTTACTTCTGCCGTGCCCAATTAATGTCCTTTTTCATGCATGACAATACCTTACTGGCCTTAGCCACTGCTGATTGACATTGCACATTGTTGCATAGTTTGTTGTCTATAACAATTCCCAAGTCCTTTTCACGTGTTGTTATTTCTAATTCGCTTCCATCAAGGGTATACGTTGCTTGTGCATTCTTTACGCCGAAGTGCATAACTTTGCATTTTTCAACATTGAATTTCATCTGCCATTTGAGTGACTAATAAGTAATAAAAGCAACAAAGGTTGAATATTTCTAAACTTTGAAATTAAAGGACAAGTGTCACCTCATATCTTTTTTTTTTTTTAAATATAATAACCATTTCATTAAGTTTTGAAAGGAAATCTTTTTAAATTGAAGTATATATTAAAACAAAGAAGAAACACCTATCTACTTTATATGACAGGATCCTTCAGCCATATATAGGCACCTTGGGCTGGACAGTGTTTGAAAACTGAGGTAGTCTCTATGGGTCCATGGTTTCACTCCCAGCACAGAGGCCAATAAGAAAATAGATAACTAACTGGCAGTAATGTTCATATATAATAATAGCAACAATATGTTTTAAATGTGTTTGTAAGCCTGAAGTGTACTAAACATGATAAAACCCATATTTTGTTCATCTACATCTTCTGAGTACATGTTCGAAGGGTAAAAAAAAATACAGAAGACACAAAACAGAAAAAAAAAAACGAAATAAAAAGTATGAGTTCAAAAACTATATTTTGCAAATATATGATGAAAGGCAACAAAAAGTACAAAAGCGTATAATCAATTAAAAATGGGTGGAATGTATAAAATAACTTAATAAATAATTCGAAAAAGACATACAAAGTCTGTTTTCTAAATATTTTTCTTTATATCTTCTGTAAAACAAGGGGACAACAAGACACACAGAAGGGTGGGAATAGAATACAGAAGGGTTTTGGGAGGTGCAAAGATACTCAGAGGGGCTTGGCTGAACAGAGCGGCACACAGAAGAGTTGGGGGGATATAAAGGCACACAGGGCTGTGGGGGGAAAAGAAACAAACAAAGGTACTGGGTGGACAAAGAGATACACGGAAGGGCAAAGAGACATGGAAGGACAAAGACACACAGAGGGAGCTGCGGGGGGCAAAGAGACACACAGAGGCTTGGGGGGATGAAGAGACAGAGGGACTGTGGGGACAAACAGACACAGGGGCAAACAGAAACACTTGGGGGGACAAACAGACACAGATGGGCTGGGGGGGCAAAGAGGCACACAGAAGGACTGGGGTGTCAAAGACACAGGGGCTTAGAGAGACAAAGAGGCACAGGAGCTTGGAGGATAAAAGGACACACAGAGGGGCTGGGGGTACAGAAAGACACTGAGAGGGGCAAAGAGACACAGGGCTGAGAGTGAAAGAGAGACACACAAAGCTGGCGATTTTTGTTTTTTGGGGGTGGTGCAAGTATCTGGTACTGACTAGGGTGCAAAATAGTCTAGCACCAGCCCTGCCTTAGTGTAACGGTCTCCCACAGACCGCATCACTGTTTTATTCAGGGGCACTCATGCCCTGAGTAAGGGACCTAGCAACTTGGTCTTGAAAGCGTGCTCTCCAACTCAGCCAATGAATTGTATCATTTTAACTCTATATTTATGAAAAATATCCCTTATTAAAAAAAGTGACATGGTCAACCAACTTAATGCTGATGATATCCTGGAGCGGTTCCGACGGATGTATGACATGATTACGTGACGTCGTGGGGTGGAGCTTATGGAGCCGTTGACCCAGAGTAGAGTGATACAGACTAGAGCAAGCAAGGCTGTGTAGTGTGGTCTGAAAGCCGCGGTCGGAGAGAAATTGTAACATCCAGAGTGGACAAGTGCGGCTAATATTTTATTGTAAGCTAAGCATACTCGGAATAACAAGCCACGAGGATTACAGCAAAACGCCAGATATCAGGGTATGAAAAGCCTGGGAAAACAGACAAGTGGGGCTAATATTATATCGGAGGGAGACAGCTGCTAAAAAACTAGTCACTAGTATTTATAAAGCACCAACAAATTCCGTAGCACTGTACAAAAGGTGTGTGTCTGTCAGTGAGCATGTCTGAGTGTGACTGGCCCCCTCCAATTGCATTGGAAAGGTATTTTTACTCACCTTTTTTCCCACGCTGTGTTGGTCTCGCATTGGCTGGCCCTGCCTCCATGGCTAATAATCAATCTTGATGATCTCAACCAGTCCACTGCCAAATGCCTCACTGTGCCAATCAGCATCTACTCATAGAGATGCCTTTTTTTCTCAAAAGGCAGTGTTTACATTGAAAACCCTGCAGGGACAAGCTATAGACACCAGAGTCACGATATTAAGTGTTGGAACATCTGTCCTGTCCTTGATGATCAGCAGATTTAGCTGCCATGGTCTTATAGTTCTATCCAGACTGAACAAAGTGTAACATATTCTCCCTCACCTTGCAGTCTCTGCAACCAGCGGCTGTGCATCTGCATGACTGACACTTGCGGCATGTTAACTGACGCCGGCCCCTGCAGATCCATGGCAAATTATACCCCCACGTCCGCCCCCATTGTTGACGTTGGCGTGCGTGTGACATCACGCAGGAGCCGCACGCGCACTTTTTTTGATCAAAGATCGATCTCGGCCAATCAGAAAGGTAAAGCATGTATTTAAACTCAAAATTACTTTTCCTCATTGCCCGGTCATGGTTTCCTTAGTAGTTATCCGAGAGTATGTTCCTGAATGATTATATTCTGGTTTTTCACTTTGGCTTTGTTTTTGACTTCCCTGTATTCTGGTATTCCTGACTTCTGGCTTTCCTTTATTGTTGTGTCCCTTTCTGTAGCCCCTGACCCCGGCAACTATCCTGACTATTTTTTGGTGCGTCAATCCGGCCATTCTAAGGCCCGGTAATACATTACCTATTGGTTCTCTGTGTGACACAATTCTACGTGCTGGATCAAATAGTAATCATGACACAAAGATAACACTTAAACGATGCTCTAACACCATGGCAGATCAAGCCTGTCTAAGTAGTGAGCTTGCTGCTCAACGCCTGTGTCTAGTTAACCTCCAAAGTATTATCTTTGTTTAACTTTAGGAATGTGAAATGAAGCCGGTTTATATTTTTTATGTTTATATTGCCTACATCATTAACAAAACGTCCCGCTACTTTAAGGCCATACCGCTATAACTGGATATAGACACCTACCTGCCATTAGCATGGAACCAAGGTTGGCGTATAACAC